GGAAAATGACTTTACAAACACTCCTTGGCGAGTACTATTTGCAGAAAAACATATATATGTAGACATACATATATACACATGTGGATGTGCAGACACACACAGTACAAGTTGTTTTCATGCAGTCTTTCTCGCTAATCTTTGTAACCACCACCAGATGACTGAGTAGGATTATGCAAATAAGGTTCTTGTGGCTCAGCAAAGGGATTGGACAGATGGCTGAAGTAAGTAAAGTGCTTGCACCCTTGTGCCCTGGAATCGGTTGTAATTTATGGCTACTAACACAAGGAGGCTCTGACTGCTCCTGCGGCCTCCTCGGTCACTGCCATGTGTGCACCACTGTTGTAGCCACTGTGCCAATCCATCTCATGGAGGGTCTTCTGGCTTTCTTGGACCCTCTACTTTCCTAAGCATGATATCCTCCAGGGAGTGGTCCCTTCCGGTATCATGTCCAAATTCGTAGCATAGTCTTCCCAGCCTCATCACTAGGAAGCATTATGGTTCTATCTCCTCCAAGACAGATTTGCTCTTTCTTCTGGGAGTTGAGGGATATTGTTGGGACAGGGTGACAAGGTATATGGAAATGTGGAACTGTAACAGGAGCAATGGTTCATCTCACCACCTTACTGGGCTTAAAATGAGTCACTGAAGAGGTGAAAAGAGGAGATCTGACTATGGCCAGGAAGGGACAGGAGCAGAGCATGTGCTCTGGAATCTGTGCTGAGGAACTGCCTGGACCGGCAGCTCTAACACCTGTGATAGTGAAAGATGGTGGGAAGCAGCAGGCAGAAAAACGGTAACCGCACAGGCACTACAACCTGAAGACTAAGAGGAGATGGCAGAGTCTCCCAACTCACAGGGCAAGAGCTGAGTGCCTTCAGCCCAAGGCCTCCTGGCAGAGTGTGGAGCCTCTGGGCACTCAGTGGTGGAGCTAAAGCTTGAGAAGTAGAGCAGAGGGGTGAAGACACCCATGAGGAAAGCCAAGCAGCAGCCGTCCTGACCAAAGAACTATCTCCTGAGTCGCTTCTAATCCTGAATTGTAACCTGCTACTTCTCTAATGGAGCTCTGGGGACCTACGGGGGCTGTGTTGCCAATCCAAAGGCATGCAGTTCAAATCCACCAGCTGCTCTTTGAGAAAAAGATGGGAAATCTCTGAAAACCCGCTGGAGGGTCAATTATGCGTCAGTTCTAACTCAAAGGCACATAACAACTTCTCTTATAAACCCATCACTGTTGAGTATTGTTTGAGTTCTGTATGGCCATTCTGATGAATTTTCAAACCCAGTAGAGAAGTGGGACTGTCATGGAAAGGGCTGGAAAGAGAAGGTATCATTAGCCTCCACTTTGTTAAGAATCAGCCCTGGGTTAACGCTGCTCGCTCCGCTCGTGAAATTAGAAGTGGTCAAGCACCTCTACTTCACCATTCTTTATATGTTTATTGCTTGTTTGGTACCATCCAGTCAGGACCAACTAATAGCTGACCCTCCAGCAGGGTTTCAGCAGCAGTAAATCGCACAGGAGACTGCCCATCTTCCTCCTGCAGAACAACTGGTGGATTCCAACCACATGCCTTTGGGTTGGCAGCACTGTTCCTTACCACTCGCTACAAGAAAGGTCAGCTCAATATTCATTCTGCATAGACTAGAAAAAAAGATTATAACACCCTTGTGTTCTTTTAAACTGAGTCATAGTTATTAAAGAGAAGGGGTACAATATAAAATGTATGCTATGCTGTATGCATTCACTAGTAAAATCTTTTCAATGTCTTTTATTCTTTAAAAAAGCTTACATGGCATCCAAATTATGTTAAAATGAAAACATTTTAAAACTATTCGTTTTACCTATATGAGGAGGAGATAAAATAGATGAATGGGGCCGTCTAAGAATCAAATCCCTATGTACATCCAAAAACTTCTCCAACAGGGCAAAAAGGGAAGCCACAGACTGGGAAAAAGTATTTGGTAATGACATGTCAGATAAGGGAGTTATATCTAGAATTTATAAAAGACTAGAACACCACAAGAAGATAAAGGTAAATAATCCAATAGAAAAATGAGCACAGGATATGAACAGATACTTCACCAAAGTCTTCTCATTCAGATGGCTAACAAGCACATGAAGAAATGTTCAAAATCCCTAGCTCTAAGAGAGATGCAAATTAAAACAACTATGAGATATCATCTCACCCCAGTCAGAATGGCAAAATTTAACAGAACAACAAACAACAAATGCTGGCGAGGTTGTGGAGAAACTGGAACCCTTAATCACTGTTGGTGGTAATGTAAAATGGTGCAGCCACTGTGGAAGGCAGAATGGCGCTTTCTCAAAAAGTTGCAAATAAAGATACCATTTGACCCAGCAATTCCACTACTGGGAATATACTCCAAAGAGACCATACTGCCACCCAAGTAGATATATGCACACCTGTGTTTACCGCAGCGTTGTTCATGATAGCAAGGAGGTGGAAACAACCTAAGTGCCCATCTACAAACGAATGGATAGAGAAGCTGTGGTATATTCACACAATGGAATACTACACTGCATTGAAAAACAAGGAACTCATGCAGCATTATTCAAAATAGGTGGCCCTGGAGGACATTATGCAGAGTGAAGTTCCTCAGTCACAAAAGGACAAATACTGCATGGTGCCACTGTTATAAAACAGGACTGACATCGGGGTTGGGGGGAGACAGAAAGATGGGTTAAATAATGTATACT